AAGATAGCTTCCCCAATTATCACCTCTAATACCATTAGCTCACAGACATTTACCTTTTCCCACCTCTAATACCATTAGCTCACAGACATTTACCTCCCCACCCCGCATCCCCCTCCTGTTCTGAAATGTGATTTGTCCTTTTCATATGTGTTCATTTTTTTAATTGTATCCTTTGGTATATATGGTTGTGACTATTTTCTTCCACTATTTGATCTGAGGAAGTGGGTCTGGCCCACGAAAGCTCATCATCTAATAAACCATCTTGTTAGTCTTTAAAGTGCTACATTGTCCTGCATTTTGCTTCAGCTACCCCAGACTAACACGGCTACATTTCTATCACTATCCTTCAGATACTGTGAGCTGGCAAACCAGAAACTCCCACAGAGTTTTAGTAAGGGGTAACAGTGCCCTTACATATGTCTACACAGAAAGGCTCTTGCAGCTTAGATGAGGTGGTTAAGGTGGTGGATTGCTAATCCATTGTGCTCTGCGTGCCTGGGTTTGAATCCCATCCTTATAGGGTATTTGCAGCCCTTCCTCTTGCTTCACCCAGATCACTCTTCAGTTCAGTGCCAGCCCTTCCTGTAACCCTGCCTGCCCCAGCCCTTCCCACTGCAGCCTGGGGAAAGGGGAAATCTCCACAGAGACACTCCTAGATGGCACCCTCAATCCCTTCTGCCCTCAAGGGGAAACCTCACAAAGGAGATTCCAGGCAGCCAGGCCAGGGGGGTTCTCTGAGATGCCCCAGCCATGCATCCTGTCCCACCTGGCTGTTGCCATGGACCCTCTGTGAGGTCACTGCCTCCCTACCAATGAGCTGAGGTGCTGCACAAGGCCCTTGTGATGTCACTGCTGCCTTGCAGGCTCATGTCCTGCCCCTGGCCAGCCCCTTGGCATGTGTGAGCTCCTCTCCCTCTTCCCCCGTCACTCAGGGCTGGTTCTGGGGCTCACACAGGGAACATCAGAGGCTGCTCACGGTGCCACATGCCCCCAAGGTCACCTTTTAAATGTCAGGGAAAGCCAGGGTCTATCCCATCCCTTCCGCAAGACCCCACCCCTTTGCTGAGCCCCTGTCCTCCCCAAACTTTTCCATGGACTCTTGGTTACTAATGGACACTCGCCACTAATGACACAATTACACCCCAGCCATTTTGCTAGGGCTGCAACTGGGGAGAAAAGTTTAATTTAAATCATTAAATGATTAAGCGTTTGAACTGTCTTATGTTAGTTGATCAAACTTCATTTTAAATAAAGGAAAACATTACGGCCAGCACAAAAGGTTTTGGTGCCACACCCCTAGAGACTCTGGAACAAAGAAGACACGTGAGAAGAACCCAACTTTCTTCCTTTTGCTGTGACATGGATGGATCTAGCTCAGGTTTCACCCAGGGGGTCTGTCTGCATGTGAAGTACCTGTGACAGCCCCTGTGCTCCTCTGCCCCTCATCAGCAATGCCACCTACTTGGGGGAGAAGTTGCCCTGAGACTTGCAGAAGGGACAACTTGGACGAACTAATGTTGTTTAGGTACCTTTGATAGCTCAGCTGGCAGAGCAGAGGGCTATAGAGTGTGCTTAGCAAATGATCCTTAGGTTGCTGGCTCAGCTTGAAGGAGCCTTTCTCTTCCCTCCAGTGTGGCCTTAGCAGAAAGCAACCAAGGTGGTTATCTTGGATCTGTGTCTTCAGAGCCCTCCACTTCAATTGACAAAATGATTGTGGGTACGAGCTGCCAATCACATTTCTTGGGCTGCGTAGGTTCTGTCCACACACAAAAGTTCTTTTGGAACAATGGCCATTATTCCACAACAACAATGCAAGAGACTACACAGCAATTCCATTATTTTGAAATAATTCTGAAGTAACAGACGGCTTATTCCGAC